TATAAACATACCTAAACCCTAAACCCCGAAACCCCGAACCTAAACCCGAAACCCTGGACCCCGAACCTGAACCCGAAACCCTGGACCCCGAACCTAAACCCTAAACCCTAAACCCCGAACCTAAACCCTAAACCCTAAACCCCGAACCTGAACCCGAAGCCCTAAACCCCGAACCTAAACCCTAAACCCCGAACCTGAACCCGAAACCCTGGACCCCGAACCTAAACCCTAAACCCCGAAACACCGAATCTAAACCCTAAACCCCGAACCTAAACCCGAAACCCTGGACCCTGAATCGTTGAAGGGTTCCTATTTCCGCAGACCTGGCGTCTCAGGTCTTGGCTCCTGCCTCCGGACTCTGGGATCTCTATAGGGTTTCTATAAGGGTACTTTTAAGGGTTTCTATAGGGGTTTCTATAGGGTTTCTATAGGGGTACTTTTAAGGGTTCTATAGGGGTAGTCGCATGTTAAAGACCACCTCCTAAGCCTCTGAGCGTCGGCAATTCGAGCTGTTTGTGTCTTTTTGAACCCTAAACCCTAAACCCTAAACCCTAAACCCTAAACCCTAAACCCTAAACCCTACCGACCTTAACTGCTAGGTGGAAAAAGGTGCTTTAAAAAAACCTAAACTCTAAACCCGAGATTCCTTGGATTAGCAACCCCGCAAGGGGGTGGAAGCCTGACGTCCTACATCGCAAACACCAGAGCCCCTGAAACACCAGCTTGATATCCCTAAACCCGAAATATTACAGTCCTAGGATGTTTTTGGGACATTTTTCCTTATTATTTGGGTTCACAAGGGACCCTGTCTATACTTATTTTTCAGAGGGTTTAGAGGCCAACCCAGAATCGTAAACTTGGAGTGCTCCTTCCCTGGGCAAAATCTTCCGAAGATCAAGGCCTAAAACCTGAACCCTAAACCCTAAACCCTAAACCCTAAACCCTAAGCCCTAAACCCTAAGCCCTAAACCCTAAACCCTAAACCCTAAACCCCAAACCCCGAAGCCCAAACCCCAAACCAAAGCTCGGGCGCTCCAGCGGCAGGCCGGCGTCTCGGAGCACCGTCGAGATCTGCTCACCTCCAACCTCAAGGATGGTTCTTAGGGTCTAGGTTTAGGGTGTAGGGTTTAGGGTTTAGGGCCTACAGAATTGCCTATAGTATGGTTTAGGGTTTAGGGTTTAGGAACATGTAGGGGCCTACATAATTACCTATATTTTTTTTTTTTGGGGGGGTCCTTGTTCTAACTGCAGTAGAATGGGCCCCAAAACCCTATTCTAATTATTAAGGCCCCTACATGAAGAAAGCTCGCGTCGCTTCCCTTTTTGGTTGTTAGTTTGAGGAAGCTTGAGGTTTGAAATAGGGTTTAGGCGCTTTCTGAAACTCTGAAGCCTGAGCTGAATATTCTAATGCAGTTTCCTAAAGCATAAACCCTGATATAGGGGCCTTAATTCGGAATAGGGATTGGGGGTATATCCTACTTTAATTATCATAGCGAGCTCCCCAAAACCCGATGGCCTGAAGAATTACTTCCTTAGAGTTCCCTCCCTTTCGTAGCTGTGCGGCTATAGTGTAACCTACATCCCTGTTCTAATTATCAAGCCTATACTACATGGCGACTACCACGTAGACGTAAATAGTACTGTACCAGTAGTAGCAAGAATCAGAATGATAGCAATACGGTCAAGGGTAATGATAATACCAATGTCGGTGAGTAAGAATTGACATGATCTTGACAGGAATCATTGTGATGATACCAGGAACAAGAGTACTGCCGCCTCCTCGTCCTCCCTGCTGCTGGTGCTGCTGCTTTTTATGATCATACCTACAGTCTCCATTGTAGTTCCTTATTTTTGGTTAACCAGTTATATTATAGGTTCCTGACCATAAAACTGGTTGGCTGACCAAAAAAGGAACTACAATGGAGACTACAGGTAAGACGAACATCAACTCTTTGATGATGATGATGATAAACGAGATTTGGTAGTGGGTACTGTTGATGATATATATCCTGCATTACCTTAAGGACCCTGAACGATCGGAATTATGATATATTCCCTATTGTGGGTACTGCAGGACTTATATCATCAACCGTAGTACTAGCACTGGGGGGGTGCCCTGAAGGCCTTGCAGGTCGGCGGAAAGCAGACAAGAGCCAACAAGAATCACAGGTCACCGGACAAAGAACTCCAATCTACCTGGTGGGCCTTCGGGTTTAGGAGTTTGGGGGTTGTGGGGGTTTTGGGGCGGATGGGTTTTGTAGGGATGATGGCTTGTCGTTGATGGAAAGTTCATTTGATGCAAGTCATTAGCGTCCCAGTTTCTCCTTTCATTGATTCAATCCCGCCTTTCTTTGTTCATCGATTCCGGCCTTCCCCGTTCAATATCATGTTGCAGCTTGTTAGGCTTTTGTTCTTGCCCGTGCGCATGTTCTCCAGCATGGCTTTCGGCTCGTTGCCGAATTGCATGGGGTTTGTGCTGTGCCTTGTTTTGCCCAGAACGCTGAGCCGGAAGCCCTACTGCATCGAATCGGATGACAATGAGTGGTTCAATTGCTCGCACAAGAGCCGAAATTGATATAGTGATCCAAATAATTGCAAATACTATTTTGGGGGCTCCGTATTGTAAATATGGTAGAACATACCCCAAAGCTCTATCCTTATTAGTAAGGCCCCTACATTAGAGCCTTCCCCCGAGCCTTGTACAGCCAAACGCCGAAGCGGAAACCCCACTCAGGAGGAATGTGCCTCGCAGATTTCTGGTGATCTCCTGCAAGACAAGCTGCTCGCAGGCGCCCCGCTTAAACCATAGTCGGCCTAGGCTTTGCAGGGTTTAGGGTTTTTTAGGGTTGGCTCAGTCTGGCGGTTTGGGGATTCGGGGGTTAGGGTTTCGGGATCAAGGGGTTTTTTCTCGAAATCGACACATTTCCAAATGGTGCCTGGTGTCTACTGCTTGGGCTTCGTCATGGCTTTGCAGCAGGGCCGTGCAGACGAAGCAAAAGCAGCAGGCTGTGACGCGATCATTCAGGAGCCGATCGGGTACTACAACGACGACGATTACTACTACTGCTGCTACTACTAC